AAAGGAGGACGAAAGTTTTTGTGGTTTTAGACCAGCATTTTAAAAAGAGGTTTAGTTACTTTAGATTCCTGTTTTATATGTTACTCTCTTTAGCACCTGCCTCGTTGGCCGAGTGGTCGTAAGTGCGACTGCCGGGCAAGGAGTCTCGGGTTCGATTCCCGGGTCGGGCAAAGTATTACTGGGTTTTTTAATATTCTCAGTAGTAGCACGGAGTCTGGAATTGTGCCCGGTATATGGCAATAGGCTCAGCCCCTATTACATGGGACTCATAACATAAATAGTGAAAAGTGGGTGTTACATTGTTCAGTGGTATAATGTGCACCTCTGCCTACCCCTTCGGAGATAAAAGGCGTGATGTTATGTTATGTCTTTAGCACCTATCAAATAAATTAAAGATCCTTCTATCTTTATCAAAGAGTATAATAAGTATAAGGGAAGTCTTTATTGTCTTTGTGATCTAGCCGTATATGTATTACGTTCATTTTGTATGTATTGGGCATTTTAGCCACCCAAAGCAAGGTCTTGCTTGAGTTTAGCTTCGAAATTATTTTAATAAATATTATTATAGGGCCTTTGTAATCATAATAGGGTAGATGCGTAATTTTTGTTTTAATGTCCGTCCGTTAGATTATTTTAAATCATTAGACACTTATTTTTTATTTTCTTACAGAAACGAATACTTTCGACGATATATTGATTTAAAATGTCGCGTGACGTCACTTCTATGTACATTTTATACGTAGAAATGACGTTTTAGCCCCCACACCTAAACTTTAATTCGTTTTATCTAAGTATTGTTTTATTATACGACAAACTAAAAAAATACTTGTCTAATATTTTTTCATTACCTAACTTCGGACTAATTAGATTTTTAATTTTCATACCCTGTCATTATTCCAAACGCTTTATGGTTATGCTACTTTTGAAATAAATCATCAATTCCACACTATGTATTCTAACAAAACATAGTTTTCCCTTTTCTTGAAGTTTTTCGTTTTTCCACTTGAGTGCAAACGTTTCAGTGAACAAATAATGAGCTGAAAGTTTTAGATAGTTAACAGGTTTTTGAGTTCAGACAGGCTGACATCTGTTTTTGATAGTATTTATCATGAACTAAATGCATTTGAGAAATACTTTATCATTTCTGCAGCAGAGTTTCTCGTGCTAAAATAAATAGTAGTAGAGACAATATGTACGAAAACAGAATATTTAGTGTGTCTCAACATTCAACGCAGAAGCTACTTTAGTTTAAATTATCTAAAAAGAACTTTAAAAGGTAGGTACATTTTAAAATAAAATTTGCTCGCAGAATGTTTTTTTTTATACTACGCCGGTGGCAAAAAAGCACACGGCCCACCTGATGGTAAGCGGTTACCGTGGCCTATGTACGCCTGCAACACTTGGGGCATTACATGCGTCTTGCCGACCCTTAACTCGTTGAAATCCATCCCCTAAATTTGGTCATACAAAAGTTGTCTCTGAACATTAGAAATAAGGTCTGTAATGTAATATTAGTGGAAAGCGGTCACCGGTGACCGCTTGGGGATTTATGGGTTAAGAATCCTATTCAATCCCCTCTTGAAGAATCCCATGTTGTAGCCCATTGGGAAAACCACAGCAGAGTTCATTCCACAATCAGAGCCTTATTTCTGTGTATCCAGTCTTTATTTCACGGTCTTTCGTTTTGTCTTGTTCAAACCTGTAACCAGGTACTGGAAAATGATAAAACCTAAAATAGACTACTTAATCAAAAATAAGGAAAATTGTAACTGATTTTGTGTGGAAAAATGTGAACCCAACTTGGTTGAACAAATCAACCTAGAAGAATAGTCAGTAAGTAGATTTCTTATATAAATATTCTATCCACAATTTTAATATTAAACGCAAGGCTAGCCTGTCCGGCTACCGCAATAACTCTTAATGCACCTCTAAGATGTTAGCAGACTCAACTTAATACTTGAACTACATTTTAATATCATAAAGTATGGAATTTCGAAACTCGTAGAAAGTGAATAAGGTTTTAAAATATTCTTAAAATAAGTTATATCTTTGTACTATGTTGTACAAAGTTATATTAAGTAGTATTCATAGTGAAATTATCATTTATTTTAGTTTCAGTTGTAACCTTTTTCTTTTGATGACAGGGAAACCTTCAAAAGGCGCCTAGCCTCACTAAAACTACCCCAGTGGCCACCCTCAGCACCCGTAAGCACCAGGTCCTTTAAAGAGACCTGCTCCGGAGCCCCCACGGTACAAAACCTGCTATAGCATATCCCTAGGGAGGCCTACGTGTCTTTTGATCATGAGTAGTAACCTAGCTTCTATCCGCATTCTCATGGGATAAAAAGTAGCCTATGTGATATTGCATACTATAATCCATTCCTGTTCCAAATTTCATCCCGATCCTTTCAATAATTTTCACGTGATTCAATAACAAACATATACACGAACTCACATACTTTCACTTTTATACTTAATATTAGTAGGATTAGTAAGATTAAGCAGTGATTCATATGAGAGTGAAAACGCAGTGAAATATAATTCATCTATGAGACATTCGTTTGATGAAATACAGTGTATATAGGTACATCGTTATTATATAGTCTGCATACTCTGAACCCCATATAATGCGAAAACTCTGTTACACCTAATGCATTAAATTAAAGATTGTTGTAGATAATACATTAACGTGATACAAAGCATGCAATAGCTGTTAATTACGATTCTGCAATTAGTGTACCAAGTTTAAAGCAACACGAATGTCGCTTTACAAAATTGTATTAATATTCTTGCTAGTTAATAAATGTGAAGGGACCGTGAATCCGTACGGACCAACTGTTGTTAAAGACTACGTTAATTGCATCAGTACTATAATTGAGAATGAATTTAATGAACCCGGGCTCTTGATATTTGCGAACACAAACAATGTTAGTACTTCAGTGTCTAATATAAGAACTGTTTTGATAAAAAGACTACATGAGACAATGAACTTTAGCGTAGAAATTATGAGTCCTGGGAAAGAAGTGGAAATCTGTGATCAAGACAATAATAACCTTGGAGTTCTACACGTTGATACTTTCGTAGCCATACCATCGGCCAATTATTTTATCATCATAATAGACAGTTTTACAGATTTTTCATACTTAGCCAGCAAACTTATAAGATCACGTTCTTGGAATCCATTTGCAAAGTTTATCATTTTGCTTTTCAACTATGTTCGGAACGATAAAATTAATATTGAATATGTTGAGAAAGTACTCAGCTGTCTCTTCAAATACAATGCAATAAATATTGTTATCGCTGTACCTCAAGCAAAAAATTTTCGTAATGCGATTATTTATAGTTGGAGACCTTACGATCCCCCAAAGTACTGCGGTTACTTTAATGAAACAGCTAAAGATAGACTAGTTGCAATAAACACATGTGAACGAGGGAGGTTGAAATATAATAATGTTGTTTTTGATGACAAGATTCCACATGATATGAATGGCTGTGTTATGGAAATACTAGCATTGCAGAGACAACCGTTCATAAGTGAAGATGAACAGGATACAAGCATTGAAAAAATTATGATCGATAGAATGCTGCAGCGGTTCAAAATGAAAGCTCATTATCATTTCTTAGAAGGATTTCGAGGGGAAAGGGTAAATGTTGGAGAATGGAATGGAGCTCTAAATAAGTTATCATCGAAGGCTGGACATTTGCTTCTAGGTGGAATATTTCCAGATTTTGACGTGCATGAAGATTTTGAAACTACTTCGACGTATTTAGCAGATGTTTATACGTGGGTTGTTCCTAGAGCTCCTAAATCAGCACCGTGGGTGGCTTTAGTATATGTATTCAAGAGACTGGTATGGCATTCTGTTATAGTTTGCTTTTTTCTGTGTGGCATAACATGGACAGTCATTGGTCGTCTTAGCGGTGATTCTCAATATAATAAATCATTTCTTCATTGTTTTGTTAATACTTGGGTAACAACTGTGGGATTCGTAGCATATTTACATCCGAAGAAAGACAGTCTACGTGTTTATTTCTTGTTTCTCAATATGTACTGTATATTATTCTCAGCAGCATATCAAACGAAACTATTTGATGTTTTAACAAGCCCTTCTTACGATCATCAAATGAACACTGTTGAGGAATTAGTTGACAGTGGCATAAAATTTGGTGGTTATGAAGAGTTGCACGATTTGTTTTATAATTCCACTGACCCTTTTGATAACTTGATTGGTGAGAAATGGGTTGACATTGATAATATTACTGAAGCTTTGATAGATGTTGCTGTTCATAAGAATTTCTCATTGCTGTGTAGTAAACTGGAGTTGATACATGTATCTGCAGTTACACCTGAATTGAGTGACAACGCTGGAAATTATAATTATCATACTTTTCCTGATATCGTTTTCAGCGTACCCATAGAGACAATAGCGTTGAGGGGATTCCCTTTTATGTTTAAGTTTTCAACGACAATAACAATATTTAAGCAAAGTGGCTTAAACGAAGGTTTGAGACACCGGTTTAAGGAGTTCACTGAAAGAAGAAGAGCTCGCCAACTGCGAGATTTATTGAAGAAAAAATCCGATGTTAGTCCACTATCTGCGAAACATCTTCAAGGCGGATTCTTTGCTTTATTTTTAGGATATGTTAGCGGTATTTTCGCTCTTATTGTCGAAGTCTTAGTAAATACTGGATCTTTCAAGAAACAGATTGCTCAATGTAAACGAAAATTGAACTTTATGAAATAGATACAAATTACATAATAGTCTAAATAAAACTCCGAGTATACAACAAAACATTTATTTATACTGATCGTCTGTTCCTTAAACGATAAGCTTAAATGTACTGTACATTTATTATACGGATCTTAATTTTAATAATTAAAATTACAGTAATTGTAATATCCTAAAGACTAGTCTATGAAAAAATCTAAAATAACTTAAAAATATTATTGCAAACCATTAAAGATATTATAATCTCCGTATTGTTTTATTTAAATAAAACGCTACCAAAATATATAAATCATTAAATGTACGATATAATACATTAAAATTTCATTGTATTGAGAAATTCATGAATGTTTAATTTCTTGTTCAAAAACTTTAATCTATATAATTTTAATGTGTATTTGACACAAATGTTCCTTTTTTGTTCCAAAAACTATTTACATAATTACTCTTACCATTACAAAGGACTGAAGGTATAAATTAATTTTATTTAAAAATCTATATAATGCACAATATGTTACAATCTAAAGGACAATATTATTTTTGAGTACCACCTTTGAGTTTATACCATGCTTATAATTATGTACACTGGGGGACAGATTCGCTTGATCACTTTCAATTTTATTGCCATGTTCCATAAATGTGTCAACTAAAGGAACAATGTTGCAGCTTAGTAACGCAACTTGTGTAATTTCATATTCAGTGGTGGTTTTCATGTTGTACGGTTATGTGCGCCGGCGCTAGTCCCACCCACTGCCATACTTCATTCGTCAATTCAAGGTCATAGGGTAGGGTTAGAAAGCGGATCTCATCAGGTGCAAGCAAATATTAACTTAGTGGTGATTAGGCGGATGTGCCCTCCATTGTACATTTCACGTAACAAAGACGAGAAAAACTTCAAGGGTTTCCTAACTACTGTCAATTTTAATGGGGCATCTTTCAAGAGTTGACATTGCATTTAAAAACTGAGCAACAGCTTTGCTGGCCAAAAAAGTATTAGAACAAGCTAGCTAAATTTACATACTATTTCGATTCATTCGTTTTTACAAAAATATACACATAAAAGTACCATTTCCAAAATACCCAGACAATCATAGTTTCTCCCCATCTAAATGTTGAAGATTATAATAAGAATGATCTGGAAACCTTTCTAGCTGTATATAATCCATATCCTTATTAATTAGAGGTTCTAATCTATTAACGATGTCTGCGAAATCGGGCCTGTCTTTAGGTTCTGCTTCCCAACAGTAGTACATTATGTTGTAAAGTTCGCGATGGCAGTGCTCCGGCTTCTCGAGACGATAACCTTCAATGACCTGGGAAAAGAAGAGAATTAATTGAATAATAGATTGATATAAAGTGTCCTGTCTCGTTTGGACATTGGCCTTCGTATTTTTAGTAGTGTACTGGAATATTTAAGCCAGAGAGCTCAATCGTTTGACCTTGGACATTTAGAGTTGAATTTCAGAAATGGGTGGTTTCTATCCGGATATTCATAACAATGTAGGTTAAGAATTTGATTTTTGTATAATTTAAGTCTTTGCCAGAGTCTGTGTTTCCTGAAAGGTGGGTCTCCTCAAGGTCTGAGTGAATAGGTTGATTATGAACAAACAGTAACGTCTTATTGTGTTTAAGTTCAGTAACGTGCTGGTGGAGAGACTTATATGCAAAAGTATACAAAAACAGTCTGATGATGATAGTGATGTAGATAAATTGGATATTTTTAAAGACACTGTAACAAATACTGTACTCTCATCTACTACATTATAACAGCCTTCATTTCAAAATCTTCTTTTAGACAGTTTGTACAGAGACGAATAATGAATTTTCTCCTTCCATCAGTTGTATTCCAATGCATTACCGAAACGTACAGCTCGGAGTGCAAGTTTAAATTGCTAATGGGACTAATGTCACTAGCAAACCCACCCTTTGCTAAAGTCATTTGTTTTACTAGAAACCATCGAATGTTCCGTTATTTCCACATTTAGAATTCAGATAACAATTGTATCGTTTAAGTACTTTGAAGTACAAAAGTTGTGGGCGTCGGATTAGATCTGGATGGAATTTTTTTTTATGTGATAAACTGGTAAACGAGCCGACGGATCGCTTGATGGTAAGCGGTCGGTGCCGCCCATGGACGCCTGAAACACCATAGTTTTGAGAATTGGGAATTCGAGGATTGTGGTGGAAATTGGAAAATGGCTACAAATAAATATAATAGTGTGGACTGTCCCACTCGTAAGTGACCGTAAGTGCGACAACTGAGTAAATAGATTTTAAATTCGATTGTTAGGTGACTGCACGGTTGGCGCGGTGGCTAGGTAACTAACTGGCTGCCGCGCAACGTGTGGCGGTTTCGATTCCCGCTCAGAACAACTATTTGTGTGATCCACAGATTGTTGTTCCGGGTCTGGGTGTCACATGTATGTGAACTTGTATGTTTGTAAACATAACAATCCTAGCGTGGGGCAATGTTTTTTTAACAAATAAAAGTCTGAGATGTTTATATATAATAACCTAAAAGTCTTATCATCATCATCAACTATGTATTGTGGCTGCAAGCTTATAAGTGCCCACTGCTGACCAAAGGTGTCTTCTCACACGGAGAAGGTTTGAGCATTAATCACTACGTTTGCTCAATGCGGGTTCATTATAGGCCCTGGTTTCCTCACGATGTTTTCCTTCCATCGTTTGTCAGTGGTGTCTAAATAATCAAAGGAAGTACATATAATTTGGAAAAATCACATTCATTCTGTTGAGATAAAAATTAAATAACACATAACATAACATCACGCCTTTTTATCCTCGAAGGGGTAGGCAGAGGTGCACATTGCGGCAATTAATGCCACTGTACAATG